TCATATGTGGAATTTAAGATACAAAACAAATGAATATAAGGAAAGGAAAGCAAAAGTAATATAAAAACAGAGAGGGAGACAAACCATAAGAGACTCTTAAATACAGAGAACAAACTGAAGGTTGCTGGCAGGGTGTTAGGTGGGGGGAAGGGTTAAATGGATTATGGGTATTAAGGGGACACTTGTTGGGATGAGCACTGGGTGTTATATGTAAGTGATGAATCACTAAATCTTATTCCTGAAATCATTATTAAAACAAACAAACAAACAAACAAGGTATTAAAAGCCTTAAAAAAATAAAAATCGTGCTATAGAAACCAATACTTCTTTGGATCCAAGAGGCCCAGATTTTTATAAAGTAGAAAGGACCTAGAGTGACATTATACAAGAATAGCTTACACTGAAGAGTATTCAGGTTTTGGGTGTTAATGAATTCAAGTCTCTTCTCAGTTATGTACTACCACATAAAAGAACATTCAGGGAAGCATTTAGCAAATCTTAAACTGAACTTAGAATCCCACTTCTCAGATTTAATGCCTTTAAAAATATGATCAGCTCCTGGTAACAACATTGTAGATGTGTTCCTGGGACAGCCTGTCAGTGTCTTGAGTTGAGGGGCTGCATTCTATCCATCTTTGCATCCTTACTGCCTAGCACAGTATTTGTCCTGTGTATACACTCAGTAAAAGTTGGCTGAATCTCCGAATGACAGAAAGAAAGAGCATATGGTGCACTCCCATGATGGGAAATGACCTTTTTGTTTTTGCACCGAGGATGGGTTTTACCTGAACATGTGCTGTGAAGAATCAATGCAAATGAAGTCAAGTGAACCTGCCACCCTAGAGGACCTAAGCTGTGGGCGAGCTTTCCCATCTTGTCTACTGGGAGACAAATTTCCATTGTTTCCTATCTCATGAGGAAAAATCCAGTACTACCTCCTAATTCAGTGACCCCAGCAGGAGCTCAAGGATGATCATTTCTCATCCATAAAGTCTGCACTAGTGAGGTAGAAGAGGCTCGTAAGTGATTTGGGAAGTTTCTTTTGTGCTTTTGATGGTTTCCAATTTCCATGAGGGAATAGGAGTAAATAGGCACACGTTTTGGAGCTGCTTAAATGTTTAAAGCAGAATGTTGATAATATGAATATGAACAGGACATCCAAGTTGCTGAAGGTAACTCAGCTTTTTAGTTGATACATAACAAGATGATGGTTATAAATAGGAAGCTGTTGTGTCAGGTTGAGAGGAAAGGGGCCAAGGATGTCCCAATACCTGGAGAGCAGAGGCAGCTGAGTGTCTCTAAAAACATCCTTTTTGAATAAATAGGAAATTAATATTGCTATATGTTAAGAGGAGGTTTAGCTTTGGGTGAATGCTGGATGTCCCTCTGACCCTGGGGATGAGAACCTACTTTAAATGGTATTTTAGGGTTGGGATCATGGTAGCTGTAGAAACAAACAAAAAACTGAGCAGAGCCGAATCTTGGAAGCAATAGGTGCTGCCATGGTAACTCAGTGCTGTGTGAAAACCTTGAGAAAACTGCATCCTTTCTTCAGATAAATGTTAAGGGACTCTCCTTAGAAATACAGCAAAGATTTATTTAGGAGAAAAACGGCTTCTAAGGGTGCTGTCCTCTTACCCTGGGAGTAGCAGAATAGCCTTCAAGTATCACATCGATCGTCTGGTCTGGGTACAGCTCCATTCTGACTGGGTGGATCTGAAACACGGGGTTGTGTGGGGCCCCGGGCTCCTGGAAGTGCTGGGGTCGGGGCTGGCTCTTAGCAAGTCCCTTCTTAGCCAGGCCCTTCTTGCTCAGCTTGTTCTGTGGATGGAAATCTTCGTTCATCCAGAACAACTGTTGGACCCGACGTCCCTTGTTGGTCAACTTGAAGCGGTAATAACAGGTGTCCAGGCTGCAAAAGAGGAGGCAGGAATTGAGAGGGCTCAACTTGGGGTGTCCTGTTCAGCTCCACACCCTTGGGATTTTTCTCCTCTGAAAAGTATTTAAAAGGTAAGTAATGAAATACACTTTATTTTTAAAAATTTAGGAATGCTACATCATGATGCTATGAGGAGCTACCACAGTAAGGGAACGAGGTAGTATCTACTTATGGAGTCCACAGACTGGAGTCCAGTACCTGGGTTTGGTCCCTGAGTTTCCACCACCAGGGAAGTGGTACATAAACACAGACACAGTATATGGAAAAATCACTCTAATTTATGATAAATGGTTCTAAGGAGTGAAAGGAAAGTAAAATACCTACTGGAGGAGAAATATATTTCAAATTGTATTGAGTATATTTCTACTGACTGAGTGAAATCTCTCATGATGAGCTCAACTTGAAGGGAACTTGGAAGAGAAGCCAAGCATAACCTCCAAGCCTGACCAAAGCTCAAGGGGACTGTACCATGGACCAGAACATCACCTGGATTGGTCATTTTTCTCAGATGAGTGCTTTAAAAATGCTATTTCATTCATCAAGTCATTTGTTCATTCATTCATCTATTCCATGAACATTTATTAAGAACCTCTTGATTGTCTGGCTCTTTGCAAGACACTGGGATTTCTGAGACCTTGGACTTGGTACAAACATGATTTTGTTTGGAATTAAAACAAAACTGAGGGGCACCTGGGTGGCGCAGTCGGTTAAGCGTCCGACTTCAGCCAGGTCACGATCTCGCGGTCCGTGAGTTTGAGCCCCGCGTCAGGCTCTGGGCTGATGGCTCAGAGCCTGGAGCCTGTTTCCGATTCTCTGTCTCCCTCTCTCTCTGCCCCTCCCCCGTTCATGCTCTGTCTCTCTGTCCCAAAAATAAATAAACGTTGAAAAAAAAAATTAAAGAAAAAAATAAAACAAAACTGATTTATAAGTTTATTTAAATTATTTTTTTTTCAGGGAGAAGACTCACCTTGGCACTGTTTTTTATTTTTAAAATCTTATTAGGCTTTGAGATTTCATCCCCTCTGTTCCTCATTAGAAATACCATCATATGCTAATAAGTAAGTTGAAGCATAAATAATAAATAAATAATAAGGAATATTTGCCGATTATCAGGTGTAGCCATTTCTATCTAAATAGGTATTTACAGAGTATGCTTATTGGAGTAGTTTGACTTCGTGGCTAAGTCCAGGCTTTGGGGAAATAATAAATATAATAATAAATAATATAAACATATAAATTATATGTGTAAATAATATATGATATATAATATAAATAATATAAACTGTAGGCAGTGTATCTGTCACTTGTACACAGTACATATTTCAATTGTCACAGCAATACGGTAATAATAAGTATGTTTGCTCTCATTTTATAAAGAAATAGAAGCTCTGAAAATTTAAGGGAGTTGCCCAAAAATATGTAGTCAGAAAAGGTGGCATATGGGTATTTCTTTAGACCCTTATGATCAAAAGTTTGGCAAACTTTTTCTATAAAGGGATGAATAATAAATACGTAAGACTTCTTGGGCCACATGGTCTGTCACAACAACTCAACTCTCCACTGTAGTGTGAAAGAAGCCATAGAGAATGTATGTATAGGAATGGGCATGGCTGTATTCCTATAAAACTTTATTTATAGAAAAAGGCAGTGGGCTGCAGTTTGCCCACCCCTGCTTTTGATCATTCTTCTGGAGATTGCTGGCATCACGATTTTATGGCAAAAAGAATAACTATAGAGCTTAGCCAGAGGAAAACTTGGCAGCTAAAAGCTGCAGTTTGCTTCTACATTCACAGGAAACTATTAGCTAACCCTCCATTTCTAGGCGAGTGTCAGAATATCCTTTGGGGCTATTTGACACTATTTGTAGACTAAGGAGAACATGTAATTAAATCTGGCTTGCAGTACATTGTTTTCTATAATTATATTTGAGTGCACTTAACAAAGAAATTTGGAAATAGAAGCATGGTATGCAATGAAAAAATGCCCCAGCTTATGGCCAACAGATGGGTGGAGAGGAGTATTTTTATATCCAGTTGACACCCAAACTGTAATTGGATGTTTGTCTGAAAACATGTGCAATTCAACTATCTGACTTGCCTGTTATTTAATTCCTCCTGGTTAATGTATTTTCAATCAAGTGTCATGTGTTGTAGATGGAGCAGAGGAAAGGAGGTGTGGATGGGCTTTCGGGGAGGGCTCCCAACTGGTTTTTGTCAGGTACATCCTCTCGAAGCACAGTGTCCATCTTGGTTTCATGACCTGTTACACCACAAGGCAGGAGCACCCCTCTGAGACCGGCTCACAGTACTGCAACAGACAGGCCAGATTCAACTGGCCCCAAGAATCAACGAGTGACAGCCATGTGACTCCGATGAGGAGCCATGAATAACCCCCCAAATGTCTCCTCCACTGTTAGCATTCAAACCTCATACACTTTCAGAGACACACATTTAGGCTGTTCTGCTCAGAGACATCTATACTGTACCACCTTTTATTTAAATATTGAGATTCTCTAGCTTTTCAGGAGGAGCCAATTGCAAGCATCTCAGTTGTTGGTGCTTTGGTGGGGAGATGAGCAGAGGACATAAAACAAAACAAAACAAAATGACTGGCTCTGCAATACCAGATAATATACATTTGCAATAAATTTTAAACCTTCCTACTTATACTGTACTTAGGTCACCACCAAGTTATATCTGTATTTTCCACAGTCATGGAGAGGAATTAGCAATGTGTCAGATGGAATTAAAGAGGAGGAATCATGATCGAGATACTAAATTTGTCACAAAGAAGCCATTGTATGTTTGAAAGAAAAATGCACTTCTATAAATGTCTTCTCTGGAGCAGAGGGACACAGCTGGGAAAATGCAACTACACTGTGCCTAGGAAAGGTCTTCTTGTGGCTGATGTACCCATTTGGAGGGGGTAAAGTGAAGACGGGAAAAGGGAGGGGGGCTGAAGACATTAGTTCTATTTACTGAAAGTAATTTTTCAAAGTAGAGGTGATGCTCAGTTTATGAAACAGACGTAGTATCTGGAAGAATCAGTCCAGGGTATTTCCCTACCTGAAATGTGCTCCCAAATTGAGCTCTGGAGCAAAGGGCTTATCTGAAACAATGGTGGAACCAACTCCTGAAGCCTGGACAGGAATCCGGTAGGTGTTGCTATTTTCTATGCTCAAAATAACTGTGTCTTTGAATGTCAGTATGTCATTCAGGTTGGCTGTCAGCGTCAGCTGAAAATCAGTTTCCGGGGGAACCATGCCTTCATTGGGTTCAATTGTCCAAAGGGATTTTTTGTGTGCCTGCAACACAAGAGTACAAGTTAACAGTGAAGATATTCTTGGCTTTTCATTCTGCACATGTCAAAGCCCTCTATAGTTCAAATGACTGGCACTGCAGAACTGAACATCAGAGACAAACATTATTTTTTTGAATCAAAACAGCTGGGTGTTTGTTGGCTTTTCTTTTTTCAAAACGCAATGTGATTTTGAAGAGCAAACCTACAATTCCACTCTTGAATGCTCTGTGAAGATTCTTTACATCTCTTTCTCAAGATGACAGTCCAGTTCTCTAACAAGCTTATGCTAATTATCTGCTCTAATCTCCAAATTCTGAGATACCAGCAGAAGGTACAACATCCTTCCTGGAACTTGTAATTTTTAAAGCAAATGTTTTTCAAGTGCAAAGTGTCTATGATGTTATAGTGAGGATAAACAGCTTTCATTAATAAACACAATGTAGGAAGTCATCTTGATTTACATTATTTCATAATAATCAGTGGAATTTCGTTTGCTAAAATTCCAAACTTATTTTGAAATATATGACAGGGCTAAATTCTAGAGTTGGAAGTGATGCCCACTAATCTGTTTCCTTTAACCATGTAGACCCTCATAGCTCATTCTTTACTCCCTAAAGTCTTTCTTTGGCCAAACGATACCTCTCAAAAAAGCCTACCCTGCACATCACATTTTTAATTTCAAACCTTCCCTCAGTACTCCTGATCCCCTTTACCCTGTTCTGTTTTTTTCCCTTAGCACTTATCATCTTCTAACTTAGTGCACAATTAACTTATTTTTCATGCTTGTTTGTCTCCTTGCACTAGGATATATGCTCTCCATAGAAGGGATGTTTATGTTTTTTGTTCTTGTTTGTGTTCACTGATATATCCCCCGGCACCTGCAACTATGCCCGGAACATAGTAGATGCTTAATAAATATATGACAAATGAATTAATGTATCTGCCTTTGATATTAGAAAACTCAATTCTCATCTAAGGTAACTTACCCCATATTTTAATACCTCAAATTGTTACATATCTCTTCCTTATGTAAAGTGGAGATATACTTTTTTTGTACCTTCCACAACATTGGTATTTGGTCCACTCCCTTGGAGATAAATAGAATAAATTGAAGCTCCCTCTTTACTTAACAGCCCTTCAAATCCTGCATCCCACCTTTAGAAGAAAATCTCATATAGTACAATCAGGCTCCAAAGTTAAGATTTTGGTTAAGGTGTCAAGTCATAAAAAAATGACTAATGCTTATTTAATCTAAAAATATAAATTGTGCTTCCTTGATGGTAATTTATCTGTTTTTTCAGGCTGCTTTTAAGATTTTCTCTTTATGTTTAATTGTGTGTAGGGCAGGTTCTCCATATGGTATGTAGTTAGTTTATTTGCATATCCTTCTTGGAATTTTCTACTTTTCTAGAATCTGTGGTTTGGTATCTCTTATTTCTGAAAACTTCTCAGCTATTATCTGTTTAAATATTGTTTCTGCCTCATTTTCTTTCTCTTTTCCTTGAATGTATGTGACTTTTCTGATATGTCCTCTCTGTCTCTGCAGACTCCCATCCGCATTTTCCATTCTTTTGCTCTTTGTGTTTCATTTTGTATTTGTTCTGAGCTATCTTCCAGTTCACTAATTCTTTCTTCAGCTGTGTGCAAGTCACTTTTAAACACACCTATTTTGTTCTTGCTTTCCCATGTAAACAACAAAAATGTGAGTCAGAAGAGGCTGGGGTAAAGGCACTTCAGGGACAGACACCTAAAGAACAAGATGTTTCTTCAGAGCAGAGGATATTGAAAACCTTTTATTGTAACATGCTTAACTTGAAGCATCTCAGTCACCCTAGATAATGACATCCAGCTGACCAAGAAGAGAAGAAAGAGGAGGGAGAGTCACATGCTGAGATTTTATGTACCAACCCTGGAAGTGTCACACATCACTTCTGCTACTTCCCCTGTACGCAACTCAGGCAGCCACCTTAGCTTCAAAAAAGGCTGAGAAATGTCATCTGGCTCTGAATCTAAGAGTAAAAGGGAACGGTTGTGGTGAACTGCTAGCTACTTGCTGTTAAAGCCTCCCTGATGGTTAAGTCTACTACCAGATCCTTAAGTCTTCCCCCAACTTCCCTGGATCCCAGATTTTGGAAGGCGAAGAATTTACACCATCAGAACACAGAAGTGGGCACATAACTTGGCATTTCAACTCTTATGGGGATTGCAGACCTGGAGTTCCTATCTACCTGTTGTTAGGACAAATAGAAGGGCAGCAAGAAGAGAAAATAAGGAAGTTCTAGGCCAGATGATCTCAGCTGTTGGCCCTTGTTCCCAAATTAGTGGCCTTGGAGCCCTCTACATAGTTTTACTTATTTATGAGACCCAGCTTACAATTAAAACATAAATTGGTGCCATTTTTCTCCTTCTTTCAAAAAAAAAAAAAAGATTAGAGAGGGAGAGAGCCAAAGCATAAGAGATTCTTAAAAACTGAGAACAAACTGAGGGTTGATGGGGGGTGGGAGGGAGAGGAGGGTGGGTGATGGGTATTGAGGAGGGCACCTTCTGGAATGAGCACTGAGTGTTGTATGGAAACCAATTTGACAATAAATTTCATATTTAAAAAAAAAGCAAATGTCTTTCAGAAGAGGGTTCTGTCAATGTCATCTTTCCCCTTATAACCATTTATTCTCCTCCCCTAGCCAGTAGCATAGGTCAGTCCTCTGTTCACAATGAAGATAGGGTGTCACCAGTATAAGTGCTATTTCAGGTCAGGGGACATTAGTTTTCAATGGATGGGTACCATTTCTATTCTGATTCCTGCTGACACAGGTTGGCAGCTCTGGAAAGAAGACACAAAGTTGCTCTCCAGGGCTGAATTGGTGAGTTTTCTTTTTGATGAAGGTTATTAATCAATGTTTGGCATAAAACCAGGCAGCAAAGTATATCATAGAATCCACGAACAAGGAACACTAAAACACCAACTGCTAAGGTACTGGACTGTCCTCACCCAAAGTCAACCTTTAAACTAGTTGCTCGGGGCGCCTGGGTGGCGCAGTCGGTTAAGCGTCCGACTTCAGCCAGGTCACGATCTCGCAGTCTGTGAGTTCGAGCCCCGCATCGGGCTCTGGGCTGATGGCTCAGAGCCTGGAGCCTGTTTCCGATTCTGTGTCTCCCTCTCTCTCTGCCCCTCCCCCGTTCATGCTCTGTCTCTCTCTGTCCCAAAAATAAATAAACGTTGAAAAAAAAAATTAAAAAAAAAATAAACTAGTTGCTCTAACACCCCTGTGTCTCTTTGCTATTTGACTTTTGGGGGATGTCCTTTGCTACTAGGAAGAACTTGGCATATGTGACATTTTCTGTTATTAGGTGACAAATTTGACAGAAAAGGAGTGGATGAATGATAATCAGCATAGCTATGGAGAACATTCCATAATCTTTCAAAACTACAATATAGTAAGACAACAACTGATGGAAATAGGTTAGGAGGGAGGGCTCTGAAGGAAAAGCGATGTGGGTTTAAGTCCCAGCTCCACTGGGTTCTGACTGTTGGGTCTTGGGCGTGTCACTTAACCATGGCTGGCCTCAGTTTTCTCATCTGTAGCCGGGGACACCAACTGCACCTTCTGCATAGGACCGTGGTAATATTTAAATGAGGTAATGTGGGTAAAACTCAGAATAGTGTCTGACAAATAGAAAGTCCTAGCTACTATCATCATTTTACCAAAATATGAAATGCTCCACATGACGCATAATTATGGGCTCCATAGTATTTGCTAAATATATGGATTATAGAACTGAGAAAACAAAGATGGATGCTAAGAAAGCATATAACATACAATACTCTTGCCAGAAGAGAAGGAGCTTGTAAGGGTTTGTGGCAGGCAGAATTGCAAGTGGCCCCCAAGATGTTTATCTCCTGATGTATAGTTATCCTTCCCAGTTATTTAATCAAACACTAATCTATGTGCTGCTGTGAGGGGATTTTGCAGATAAAGTCAAGATCCTACATCCACTGACTTTAAGGTGGGGAGATTATCGTTAGTGGATCCGATGAGATTTTAGAAGTGATTGGGCTCTTCCTAGTCAAAAGACTTCAAGTGTGAGAGGGGCTATGGAAGGGACCACATGGCAGGGGGCTGTGGGTGTTTCAACAGCAGCTGAGTGCAGACCCTAGCTGGCAGCTAGCAAGAAAAAAGGGGGGGCCTCAGTCTCTCACTGCAACGAAATAAATTCTGCTGACAACCTGAGGGGGCCTAGAAGTAAATCTTTCCCTAGTCAAGCCTCCTGAAGAGAATGCAGTTCTACCACTGCCTTGACTTCAGTGTTTTGAGAGCCTAACGAGAGGATCCAGCCAACTCATTGCCAGACTTCTGACCTATCGAAACTGAGATAATAGGGGATCCTGGGAAGATGGCGGCATAGCAGGACGCTGGGCTCACCGTGCGTCCTGCTGATCACTTAGATTCCACCTACATCTGCCTAAATAACCCAGAAAACCACCAGAAGACTAGCAGAATGGAGTCTCCGGAGCCAAGCCCAGACGAGAGGCCCACAGAAGAGGGTAGGAAGGGTGGAGAGGCTGTGCGCGCTCACCGACTGGTGGGAGGGAGCCGGGGAGGAGGGGTGGCCCGCCGGCCAAGCAAGCCCCCGAGCCTGGCTTGTAAAAGCAGAGGGGCCTGAGGGAGTGTGTTCCGACAGCAAGTGGGACTTGACATCTGGAAGGTTATAAGCTAACAGCTCTACTCGGAGAACTGGAGGGCTGGAGGACAATGGGAGGGACAGTTGTTGAGCCCCGAGGACAGAGCTCAGCTTGGCGGGGAACAAAGGCGCTCACCAGCGCCATATCCCTCGCCCATCTCCCAGCCAAAATCCCAAAGAGAACCAGTTCCTGCCAGGGAACTTGCTTGCACCGCACAAACACCCAACGCTATGCTTCTGTGGATCCATCCGGAGGGTCTGACTCCCTCCTGGTGCCGCAGGGCCCCTCCCAAAGCGGAACTCCAAAGTAAAAGTGAGCTGAGC